TCGCTGGTGTGTTTGAGGGAAAAGCAAGGCCAGTTTAGTGTAAGATTTTTCATGATAAATCATGAAAATCATGTGGAAAATACTTACCTCCTTTCATTTGTTACTTTCCATACTGAGATATCTATTTTACATAACAGCTATGAGTAGAGAGAACACCGTCCCAGCCGCTTATTACTGATCTTGGGCTTTTTAACTTTGTTCATATTCATTTTCCCTTTTCATAATTATTTGTTGTCGGGATTAATAAGGCAAATGTGAGTATTCCTGCACAGTAGGTACAGAGTAAATGGTTGTTAGATGTCTTGAATTTGGCGTATTTACTGAAGTGATTTATTTCCCCGTTAGTGCACACTCCTAAGCTTTGGGCATCCTGCCCTCTGCTATGGTTGCCGTGTGCAAACAGCTGTAATCACTGTAATCAGTAGTATCAGCAGCCTTTGGAGTCTAATATTTTCCTCCTCTGCTTATTGTTTCCCTGGACTTTCCTTGACATGGTAATTTGATTTTCTTTCTGCCTGTGCCATTGAGAAGAGCAGCCTGGTGTGTTCTCACAGTTTGCAGTCTGACAAGCAGTGGTGCCATCCCACCGAGGAGTGCTGACTTTCTCCTACACTTAGTCACAGTTGTGCTCAGTGCCCACTGCTCCATTGCTTGTTTCTCCTCACTGGATTGGTGTGGTATCTTGCCTTTGTTGTTGAGCTGTTTCTGATTCCTGGAACAGTACTTTAATCTTTCATCAGCCCACCTTTCTCTTTTATTGCCATTCTACTTTTGCCCACTCGTACCTGTCAACCTGAGGTCCGCAAGGATGTTCTGTAAAGGGCCAGCTGATAAATATTTTACACTTTGCAGACCAGATATGCTCTCTGTCCCGTTCTTTTTGCCCCCTCTCCCCCCCCTAAAATGTAAAAGCCATTTTTGATTTTAGTAAATAGGAATTCTTAATTTTTTTTTCTGGTGCCTTGATTTTTAAATTGTGAAATAGCGTATATATTTAAAAGTGCATGGGGGCGCCTGGGTGGCGCAGTCGGTTAAGCGTCCGACTTCAGCCAGGTCACGATCTCGCGGTCCGTGAGTTCGAGCCCCGCGTCAGGCTCTGGGCTGATGGCTCGGAGCCTGGAGCCTGTTTCCGATTCTGTGTCTCCCTCTCTCTCTGCCCCTCCCCTGTTCATGCTGTGTCTCTCTCTGTCCCAAAAATAAATAAAAAAAACGTTGAAAAAAATAAAAGTGCATGAAAACTTACATACTTGGTTTAGTGCATAAAAATGAAACAAAATTTTGTGAATCCTACCTCTCAAGCCAGGAATAGAATATTACCAAAACCTCAGAGCTGCCCTCCCATGTTCCTCCCTGAATACATCTGGTATACTGCATTTTGTGGAAATCATTTCTTTGGTTTTTAAAATAGCTTCACCACAGATGGTAAATCACTTAATATATGATTTGGCTTTTGATTGATACTTAGTTTTGTATAAATGGAATCATCACTATATGTACCTTCTTTTGCTCAGCAGTTATGTTTTTGGGATTCATTCATGTTAATGCACATAGCCATAGTTCATTCAATTTCAGTGTTTATTGAATTTAATTAAAAAAAATTTTTTTAATGTTTATTTTTGAGGGAGAGAGAGTGTGTGTGCGAGCAGGGGAGGAGCAGAGAGAGAAAGAGAGAGGGAGACACAGAATCCGAAGCAGGCTCCAGGCTCTGAGCCAGCAGCACAGAGCCCAACGCGGGGCTTGAATTCACGAATTGTGAGATCATGACCTGAGCTGAAGTCAGACGCGTAACTGACTGAGCCACCCAGGCGCCCCTATTGAATTTAATTTTTTGACTATACCACATCCTTTTACAGTCTATTTTACTGTTGATGGACATTTGGATTGTTTCCAGTCTTTTGTTCTCATGAATAATGCTGCTGTGAACATTCTTTCTTATGTCTCCTGATGCGCAAGGAGCTTACCTACCAAAGGCCTTACCTACTAGTGAAATTGTCAGGTCCTTGCAAGGCTAGCTTTGGTAACATTATGTACAGATTTACACTTTTGTTCTTCATTTGCATTTCAGATTTTCTTTATAAGATCGGTTTTCAACTGCCTTTATGATTACCTTTACTGACAGCCAGCGGGTAACAAACTCTTTAAGTTTTAACTTCTTCCAAATTTCTTTTATTTTACTTTCATTCATGAAAGTTATTTCTCTTCATATACATTTCTTTTAATTTCAGCACATTGCAGGTATTATTTCACTGTCTTTTGCTATAAATAAACAATTTGGCTTCAGTATTGCTTTTGAAAACACTTGTCCCCCTTATTTTTGCCTCTGTCTTCTTTCTGGCTGCTTTTAAAATACTCTTTTTTGATGTTTTTATAAAATTCCACTGTGACATCTCCATGTCTACATTCCTTTTTAATAATCCTGTTTGGAATATATTAGTCTTCTTGGGCATTTAGATGAGTATCTTTTTTAGTTTTAGAAAGTTTGACAAGAAATTGCTGAGAATATTGCCTTGCCTCATTCCTTTTACTCCTTTTTGAGGTCCAATCAGATTTTTTCTAGATTCTGTTGCTCTTGTCTTCCATATCTCTCTCTCTATTTTTTCTTGAAGGCATTTTACCATTTTTAAACATGTTTTTTATTTTTAAGAGAGGGTGAATGAGTGTGGGAGAGGCAGAGAGGGAGAGAGAGGATCTGAAGCAGTATCTGCACTGTCAACGGAGAGCCTGATACGGGGCTCAAACTCATGAAACTGAGATTGTGACACAAACTGAGGTCAGACACTTAACTGACTGAGCCACCCATGCGCCCCAGTCTTCCGTGTCTCTTAATCTTTTTCTCATGTTCCATCTCTCTTTGCTGTGGTCTGGGTAATTTCCTTTAACCTGTCTTCTGCTTCCCTAACTCACGTTTAGTTTATCTAATCTGCTGTCAAATCTAAATAGTTTTTTATTTCTAATCATACATTTTTTATCTATTAAAAATGCAATTTGGTTCATTTCCTCTCCTTTCCCTCTTCCTCTCCGCTCCCCTCATTTTTTTTTTTTAAATGTTTATTTATTTTTGAAAAAGAAATAGTGTGAGCGGGGCAGGGGCAGAGAGAGGGAGACACAGAATCTGAAGCCGGCTCCAGGCTCCAAGCTGTCAGCACAGAGCCCAACACAGGGCTCACACCCACAAACTGTGAGATCATGACCTGAGCTGAAGTCAGAGCTTGACTAACTGAGCCACCCAGGCACCCCTCTCCTCCTTTTTTTTTAAAGTGAGCTCTACTCTGTTGTGGGGCTCAAATTTAGGATGCCAGGATCAAGAGTCTCATGTTCCACTGGTTGAGCCAGCAAGATGCCCTGCTTGGTTCATTTTCAGATCAGCTTGTTCCACTCATGGTGTTTTATTTCCTTATTTCTTGTAGATATATGACTGAGTGAGTGTGTGTGATCTACTTATTTTTCTCACAACTGTATCTTGGAAAATGTGTGAGGCTGAAGATAATAAAGTTGGGTTTCTCCAGAGAAGATTGCATTTGCTTCTGTTGCCTAGGGCCCCTTCTAGTCCTTGGCTCTTAAAATAAACTCTGGGTTTGAGGTGTTCAGAACACCCAAGTAGTGTTTTAAGTTGTAATTACCCATGTGAGGGCTGGCTTATGGTTTTTAATTCTCAGGGGAGATGTTTTTCTTCCCTCTCTTCAATGCCATGGCTCAGGACAGCATTTCCCCCCCTTTAAATAGTCCCTGTGGAACATGACAACTCATTTCTAGTTTACCCTCATGCTGAGAGTTGTTACTTTTTGACATACCCACTTATCTAGGGTCTTCAGGCTCCCCATTTAGGTAGGTCAGTATTCTTTGTCTTTTGTTCCCAGAGGCCTGCAAAGCCACAAAAGTTGATAATTGAGTTTACACAATTTGGCAACCACTTTCAAGGTGAAAATCAGCTTTAGCAAACTCAATTGACCTTTCTCTCTTCCTGTCTTCATTTAACTTTTGTCAGAATATTCCCTGATTTCTTGTCAACTTATGAATGCATTTGAGAGAATATTTTAAAATACCTTTCCTATATTTTTTGTTGTTTCCATCAGGAATATTAGTTTAGCTTCTAAGACTACAGTGATGCTAGAAGGAAAAATCTCTGTTTTTTTTTACTTTTATATTCCCAGTTAAATTTTATTGTTCTTGAGAGGAGTGGCCATATCTTAGACTTCCTTATGCATTCTTAGTATTGAGTGGACACTCAGTGGTATAGGTAGATATGCAGCTAGTAACACTTTTGAGGGCTTTCAAATTACATGTTTTATATCAATTATGTTTTTTAATCTTTCCAGTTATTTGGCGAGATAGGTATATTATTATAACCTCTATTTTGCAGGTAAGTAAACTAAAACTTAGGGGAAGAATCTGGACAAAAATTTGGTAATTAGTTGGGCTAGGATTTAGATTCATGACTTTTGATTCATAATTCTGTGTTCTTTCCACTACACCATGTTGCTTTTTAATTAATGTTGACATTTGACATCTTTTGATTATTATATCTAGATATGAAAATTTCAGGGAAACCACCGGATTAACAATATCTAGGTGAAATTATCCCTAAACTCTCACTTGAAAGAAATTGTTAGGGGTACCTGGGTGCCTCAGTCGGTTAAGTGTCTGACTTTGGCCCAGGTCATGATCTCACGGTTTACCAGTTTAAACCCCGTGTCAGTCTCTGTGCTGGCATCTCAGAACCTGGAGCCTGCTTCAGATTCTGTGTCTGTCTGTCTGTCTGTCTGTCTCTGCCTCTCCCCCACTCATGCTCTGTCTCTTACTCTCTCAAAAATAAATAAAAACATTAAAAAAAAGAAATTGTTAGCTTGTTATTGTTAAACTTTTGTTTTACAGTTGTTAAACTTTTATCACTTAGAATAATATATTGACTTCTGTTAACAGAAAGCAGAAAAGAAAATGAAATGCAGCATTGTGAAATTTTGTTGTATTAAAATATAGGTAATTTATATCTTTTCCAACAGGTGTGTATGTAATATAGATTGCAGTGGATACAGTTTTAATCCTGTGTGTGCTTCTGATGGGAGTTCCTACAACAATCCTTGTTTTGTTCGAGAAGCATCTTGTATAAAGCAAGAACAAATTGATATAAGGCATCTTGGTCATTGCACAGGTAACAGCTATTCTACTCACCCAGAGACCTGTCTTTATTATATTGTGTGTCTGAATTCTTATTTGTCATTTTGGTAGTGTTCCATACTTGTAAAATGAGAAATCTTTGCTTTATTTATTTTTTTAATTACTTTATGTTTTAGAATTTCTTTGTTCTGTTACTAATTTCGAATTTTTTCCATTTATTTTCATCTTCTTAAAATTCAAACCATGCTTTTTTGTTGTTCATATAGTTACTAAGCTATTCCTTACATGGACTTATAGATACATTTATAGTTCTTAAAGGTTGTCTCGAATTTATAGTAATAAATATAGCTGTTTAAGAATTGGTCAACTTATTTCAATTATAATAAAACTATAAGCATTGCCATGTATTTCTTCATCTTTTTTTCTACAGCAGAAAAGTTTTCACATTCTATGTTCACATTCACATTTCACATACTATGTTTTCACATTCTCTCTGCAGTTTTTGCCCCTACATATTATATACTGTTAAGAGATTTTGGTGTGAAGTTACAGAATATAAGGAAAAATTATCACCTTCAGTTTAAAATTCTTTTTTCTCTTTTTGCTTTATGTCATAGTTTGGAAGCCATGATACCAGCTAAGAATTTATTTTTGTTTTCTATTACAAATAGAAATATCCAGTCACTAAAGGCAGAGGTTCTCAATCTTCTTTCCCTAGTAATACACGTATGGGTGAGGATAATGTATCATTCCTAGTAACATACAAGAGCCAGGCACATTGTCATGGACTAGGATTGTGGTCCTAGTAGTCCTGCTTAGGAAGTCCATCCCTCCTACCTGTTTTGGATTTATTAAAGGGATATGTTTTTTTATCTAAGCTAAGAGAAAAAAGTGGTAAGGCAAAGTTTGGTACTTTATGTTGGTAACAAATTATTTGTGGAATACTGCACCAGGGATTGCAATACCTCTGGTCTAAGCTACCAGAGAATGCCCAAGGGGCTCATAAGAGGATTTCCAGTTGGGGGTCAAAAATGGGCAGGAGAGTGGCCCCTGGGTGGCTCAGTCGGTTAAGTGTCTGACTTAAGCTCAGGTCATGATTTCATGGTTCGTGGGTTCGAGCCCCGCGTCAGGCTCTGCGCTCACAGCTCAGAGCCTGGAGCCTGCTTCAGATTCTGTGTCTCCCTCTCTCTCTGTCCCTCTCCCATTCTCTCTCGCTCTCTTTCTCTCTCTCAAAAATAAACAAACATTAAAAAAAAATTTTTTTTAATGGGCAGGAGAGCAAACCATTTGCTGGTAGAGGCCCTTCTTAGGTCCCTTGATCTTAAAGAAGTATTATGGTTTGTTTTTCTGTTTGTTTTTTTATTTTTTATTTTTTTAATGTTTATTTTTTGAGAGAGAGAGGGAGACAGAGCGCGGGCAGGGAGGGGCAGAGAGACAGAGAGGGAGACATAGAATCCAAAGCAGGATCCAGATTCTGAGCTGTCAGCCTGACACAGAGCTCCAACTCACAAACTGTGAGATCATGACCTGAGCCCAAGTCAGACACTTAACCGACTGAGCCACCCAGGTGCCCGGGTTTGTTTTTCTTTCCTAGAATGGTGTTTAGAGCCTAAGTTGAAACAGTAGCTTAGAGAAATAATATCTTTTATGAGGAACTGGCTCATGATTGAATGATACTACCAGAATTTCAAACTTCAAATTGGTCAAACTTGAGAATTTTGATAATTGAAGTTCATGCAGATTTAGAATCCTTTGGAGTAGTTGGTCCTTAATTTTTATTTTGGTCCTCTTGATAATATTTCCATTCATCCCTAATGATACCTTCCCTTTCCTCCCTCACTATGTACTGGGAAGCTGAAGCTTGTGTTTCCAACAGGCATTTGTGGTTCATTTATAGTCTTCCCAGTCCAAATACAATTCGCCAGTCTGAGGTCATTTCTATCATAAATTTTGTCTGATAACATAACTGAGATTCCACATTTATCTTAATCTGATATGTTTCTAGGGAAACAGTGGTATGAGAAGGTAAAACTTGAGACCATTGTCCCTTGGAGACAGGGTTAATCTTTTCACGTCAGGGTATCTGTTATTTTAGTTTGCACAGGAAAGACTTTTTCAGTAGAGGACATTTGAGCCGAAGTCTAGATGAAATTAGGCTGTTCATCATGCAGAGCAAAGTGTGTATATATTTGGGATGTCTTGAAGCCTAAGATAGAAATGGCACAATAGTCAAGAGATTGGAGGGAAATGTAAGCAGGATAAGTGGATGAAGTTGGGAAGGACCTGGAGCATTTGGAAGTTTCATGGTATGAGTTAAATATCATATGTGTCTTAATTTGAAAACTTTTCTTTTATAGACACAGATGACACTAGTTTGTTGGGAAAAAAAGATGATGGACTACAGTATCGACCGGATGTGAAAGGTATTGAATCACGATTTTCCAAATTTTGGCCAACTATTGAAATATGGTCAGTATCTGTCTGTAGTAGTTCTATTTCCATTATAATGACCCTTCCAACTTTGCTCTCTCTAGCAGTATGTTGTAGAATATATTATTAGTAATAATATGAACTGAAATGGCTAAGGCACTTATTCTCAATTTGCAGAGTACTCTCACATATGCTGTGTTTTTGCAATTGAAATTTTTATTGAGATAATTGCAGATTCACATGTAGTTGTAACAAATTACACAGATTCCCTCATATTTGCTTTTTAAATCCTCTTTTTTTTTTAAAAAAAAAAATTTTTTTTTTTTCAACGTTTATTTATTTTTGGGACAGAGAGACAGAGCATGAACGGGGGAGGGGCAGAGAGAGAGGGAGACACAGAATCGGAAACAGGCTCCAGGCTCTGAGCCATCAGCCCAGAGCCTGACGCGGGGCTCAAACTCATGGACCGCGAGATCGTGACCTGGTTGAAGTCGGACGCTTAACCGACTGCGCCACCCAGGCGCCCCTCAAATCCTCTTTACTTCTCTAGAATCTACTATTAATGCTTGCCCTCTGTGTACAGGTTTTGTTCCCTCTGCCTGGAACTTTTCTCTAATTAATATTCATCCTTTCAGTCTTAGCTTAGAAGTCATTTCCTCTTAGGAAATACTCCTTGACCCATAAGTCTAGATTAGGTGCCTCTCTATTATACTCTCCTACTTGATCACTTAACCAACTTTAATTATAGTTGTCTCTTTTATTCATCTGTATCCCCTTGTAGGCTCTGAGTTTTGTAAGGACAGAAGACTGTATCTATCATGTTCACTTTTGTATTCCTAATTCCTGGCAAAATGTTTGGCACATATGTAGGTGCTTTGTACTTGCAAAGAATGGATGCAGCTCAAAGAAACTGTAGGATTTGTTTGTACAGAGTCTTATATATAGTAAAGGTCAGAGCTGCAGAGACTGCATTCCTTGACCTTAAGTCCAGTGCTCTTTGATTTAATTTGATTCTTCAACTACTCTGAGGGCTGCTAAGGATCAAGGGGAATGTTGAGACTCCATGAGGTTCTGTCTAGTGAACTGAAATAGGTCTAGATCTTGGGACTCCTAGTTTGGCACTAAGTGCTCTTTCACACATGCATCTTCTATCCATTTATTAGGTTATACTAATGAACAATTGTTTTTAGATGTGTGATATGCCTTTTATGCCTAATTTCCAAAAAATATGTAAAATGAGAATAGTAATCGTACCTATCTCATAGCTTTATAAAAATTAAATAATATATGTCAAGTGCTGAGAATAGTATCTGACATACTCATAAGTGCTCAATAAATGGTGGCTGTTATTATCACTGAATTTGTTATTCCCTCAATAGAATCATATCATACCTGAATCATTTATATTCCATGAGCTCCTGAAATACTAGTTTGCTATGTTGATACAAGTGCTGTATTTAAAATAGAAGATCTCCTGTATTCCCATAGGAGACATAATAGATCAGCCCCAGTTTTATTTCTTTATACTGTTAGTACATGACCTGAATAGGAAGGCTATTTTTCAGTAGCTAGAGGCTCATACTTAAGGTAATTTGGGGAATTATGTATGCCCCAAATACTTGCCTGCCTTTGATAAAACTACAGGGATAATTTAGTGCCTAGGCCACTTTTGAGATACTGAAAATTCTTTACACATAAGAACTGGTCTATAACTCAAATGAAATTACCATAATCAGTAGATATAATTTATTATGTGCCTATTCTATACTGGTTGTTTTATCAGACATTGTTGGTGGATAGAAAGATAACTAACACATGACCTCCTTCTTTAAAGAGTTTCTTCATAATAAGAAATGAATATAACCTACTTCTAACAAAGTAGAAATTGGCTATTGTTATACATGTAGTGTGGTTGAAAAGTGCAATGGACATTCAGAAAAGAAAAGATTGCTATTTGGTGGAGTATAGTGAGGATCTGAGAAGCTTAATGGAAGAGGTGAAATTAGGGCTGAACCTTGAAGGATGGTTAGGATCTTAACAGAGATCAAAAAGATATTTAAGGAGAATGCAAGAGCATGAGCAGAGGTGTGGATGCAAACGTTATGATAGAATGTATTGGACAGTGGTAAGGAGTCCTTTTTTGGCTGGAGAGTAGGGGCTTTAAGAGGTAGAAAATGGAAGAAGAGACTAGAAAGGTTGGGGCCAGACTGTGTAGTGTCTTAAATGCTGTATTCTAAGACATTTAAACTTTATTTGTAGAATTATTAATATATTTGAAAAAGACAAGGCTGCAGAGTTAACCAGTTGAATGAATGGTATGTGGTAGGTACATTGTGCTTATTATTATATATATTGGACTAGAGGCAGGGAGATCAGTTAGGTTGACTCAAAGGGGATAGACTTCTGCTTAGATCAGAGGGATAGAGTTGAGATGACTTGGACGATAGATTCTATTTACACAACTAAGGATGTTGGGAGAGGCAAGGTGTTTAAGGTAAGGGAGGAGTTGATGGTGGAGGTGATTAATTTTGGAGTTTGAGTTTCTTGTGGGACTAAATAAGTCCATGTGACTTGTTTAGCATAAATTTGCAAGTCAGTCCTTTGAGACAGAGGTGATAGATAACTGAAGTCATGAGAACGAGTAAGAGATTATAGAGCTGCATTGTTTAGACTATTGCACACTTGAAATAGGGCTAGCATGATTGAGAAACAAAACCTTTAATTTCATTTCATTTTAATTCATTTAAATTTAAACAGCCACATGTGGCCACTGGCTATCGTTTTGGACAGCACACACATAGAACATATCGAGAGTTGTAGAAAGTTCCATTAGATGGCACAGTTATCCAGATCCAGAGAAAACCAAGAAAACTACAGTGGCACAGAAGCCAAAAGGGAAAAGCTGCATAAACATTTGAGAGGATGAGTATTGAATTTGAAGACAAGGGAGTCATTGGTAATCTTGGACCAAAGAGTTTCTCTAGAGTTATAAATGTGAAATCAAATTGTTGAAAGAGTTAAGAAATGTTCTAGTAGGGAGGAGTAGAGGTCAAAAGGTACTATTTTGTATTTTTCCATTTGCTTCTATTTTTTGTCCTCACAGGCATTTATAGGAGGACCTTAGTAAATATTTGTGTCCCCAGGACACAAGACTCTCTAGGTAGATAGGGCTCTAGGGATGGAGGCTACAAAGTGAAAAGCAGGAACACAGCATCGGCAGGTAGCTGGACAGATTGGAAGGTAGTGCTCAGTAGGGAAGATTTTTTTAAAGTTGAGCTCTTAGAAAGTAGTGCTCATGAAATGGAACATTTCAGTGTCCAGCACGGTGGCTGAATTAGTGCTTGTCTTGGGCTGTTAGAAAACCTGTGGTAAATGCTGAGATTGTAGTGTTGGAAGCATTGTTGTAGATGTTTATGCCGTACAGGGTATGATGGTTGAACATGAGGTATGGGAGATGGGTATGTGACATTTTAAAAGCTTGATTATAGAAAATTTCAAATGTATGTAAACAGAATAGTATAATGAACCCTCCTTTCCCCAGTACCCACCTTCAACAGTTTACAGCATTCTGTCATTTTTATTTTGCCTGTATACCTCTACCCTCTTGATTATCATTATTCTTATTTCACAGGTGTTTTTTTGAGGTATAATTTACATACAGTGAGATACATGAATGTTAAGCTATCAGTTTTCAAAAATGAATGCACCCCAATATACCCACATATACCCACAGTCTCTAATATTTCCATCTATCCAGGAAGTTCCTTTGTGGCATATGACATTTCAACGTGACCATTTTTGTCCAAAGATATTTTCGTACAGCCTACAATCTAACTGTAACACCTTCTTTATTTCTAAGACATTCTCGCTTATCTTAGTTCCTGAGCTTCACTTCACCCCATCCCTCATCCCATCTTTGACCTCCTTCTCTCAATATTCTCTCTTCCTGCTAACCAGTGATGATACCAGAGATACTGAGATATTGGTACTATTTTTTCCATTACTTGGTGACTGTCACTTACATATTTTAATACAGCTCTTTTGATATGCTCCATTTTTAAAGTCTTGATAAATTCCCCTCATTGAAAGGTAAGACTGAGACAGTTGCTAAAATCTTTGAGAGAAGTCTGAGTGTGTGTGCTGTGGAGTGTGGGAGAGAGTCCTGATGAGTTTTAGAAGGCTGTCTGGGTGGATGGCACAGACCCCTAAGAGATGAAGGTCACTGGGAGATGAGAGTGGAATACTGATCTGGAGGTGATGGGTAGGAAGCACAGCAGGGGAAGGTGGAAGGAAAGGGGATATAGGAAGTAACGTGATCTTGGTATGTCAGGGAGATGAAAGGAATACTTTCTAAGGGAATGGCTGAGGAAGTGGATGAGTTTGTTCACATTAGAAAATGTGTTTTGTTGGGAAGAGTGGAAAGGCTAAGAAAGGAAGAGTTAGGGTTAGTATGGAAAATGGGATTTAGAAATGTGAGAGTTAGAGGTGTTGGAGAGTAGGTAGCTTTTTATACCTCCATATTCTTTGATGGGGTATGAGGAGACTGGTGTAGGGAAAGTATGTATGGAGGGATATTTAGTAATGAAGATGAGGCGCAGGATAGTATAGGGGAAACAAGAAAGAATATATTAAATTTTTTTTTTTTAATTTTTTTTTTCAACGTTTATTTATTTATTTTTGGGACAGAGAGAGACAGAGCATGAACGGGGGAGGGGCAGAGAGAGAGGGAGACACAGAATCGGAAACAGGCTCCAGGCTCCGAGCCATCGGCCCAGAGCCTGACGCGGGGCTCGAACTCACGGACCGCGAGATCGTGACCTGGCTGAAGTCGGCCGCTTAACCGACTGCGCCACCCAGGCGCCCCTATATTAAATTTTTTAAGTGTAGGGATTTGTAGAAATGAGCCAGAGGTACTGATGCAGTGTTGATGTGTTGTTGTGGCCTCAGCAGATGACCTACCAGGTGCGTGTCTTGGTTGTTAATAGCAACTCCT